ACTGGATCCCAATCAACAGCCACGTGTGCGCCGTCATATCGGTTTGCTCGTTCAAAGCTGCGAAATCGCGCGGAGACTAATGGTGTCTGTTTGCCATTGCGGCTCACGCCCCCACATACTGTAGCACTAACTCGATAAAGGATGACTTCTATCACCAACTGAACGAGCTCCTTCCTTACAGGAAAGTACGGATACATTAGTGCTACCTGGTTATCTGAACTACCAAGTTGGAAAACTGCTCACTGATGAACTGCATATGGGCGACTAACATGGTGTAGGCTCCCGTAATGATAACGGTGAGCGGTTGCTACACCCGTGTGAAGATACCTGTCTATTTCTCACGAGCACTAGCTTCCGATGCATCACGCACGGAGCGTGACATGGCGCCCACCAGCCTCGCTCCAGCCATAGATGCAAATCGATCACATCGCGCCCACTCACCGCTGGAGACCGTGTGCAAATCTGTCGCTTGATTTGGAACTCGTGTGTCTACTCTGACCACGCACTCGTTCGCTTTGGCGACGCTATGAACGCATAGATACTTACCAACTGGCGAAGCCAGATGTTCTAAATACTTATGCAAGTGCACTGGCATCCGAGTTGTGGATGCGCTCACTGAATACAGTGGAAGGGCACTGGTCGCAAATCCGCCAGATGTTACTATCAACAGGCATGTCTTCTTGTGGCAAATCAAATTGCCAACATGGACATTGGGTCTCCATGCAGTCTCTGGATCTTCTTCATGCTCGCCGATACATTCAGGCTTACAAACTCGAAATAACCCCAAGGCTGAACTGCGTGCTAGCCTGAAGAGGACCGAATTACTGAGAGTTAGGCTGGGCTCCTCCCTGGTCTTGGTTTTATTGATCACATATTTACTCTTCCCCAAGTTTTAGAGAAGACATGCAGACGACCGACTATAGTTATTTTCCTTAACTTGAAAGCCGCCTTTCCTCTTTAACTTTGTGACCAAAATCCTCATGAATGAATCGGTCCTTTCAAACTCCTCAAGTTGAAGTTCTGCCAGGTGACCGACTGACAAACCTGGAGTATGCGGACGACATCGCTCTTCTTGTGTCCGAAGCAGTGGCTATGCAAACACAATTGGTTAGACTGACGCGTAACGCTGTACCCTTCGGCATGTGCTTTGTATCTTCAAAGTAAAAAGTACTGTCGCGGGACTGAACCGATAAGCCACCGGTTCTAGCTCTCACTAAACAGCCACTGGAAGTGGTGAGTCGGTTCGTTTACCTTGGTAGCTGTGTCACCTCTGGTGGTCACATCACTGAGGAAGTTACTTCGCGTATCAGCAAGGCCCGCGTGGCTTTCTAGAGGCTCGCCCCTCTATGAAGATGTCGGAATATCAGCCTGTTAGTGAAGGGTAAGGTGTATGACGCTTCGGTAAGGCCAGTGTTACTGTAAGGATCAGAGACCTGGCCAGTTCGCAGCGAAGACAATAAACGCTTGGCCATGTTTGACCAGTGGTGCTTGTGGAGTATTGCTCATGTCTAGTGGGAATACCAGTTGAGAAAAGCTGAAGTCCGCCAGTCGGTTTTCGGCAAGAAGCCCTCTGATGCCTCATTCTAGTGTTTACAGAATCTTAATCGCTTACGTTGGCTAGGCCGTGTCCTCCGTATGCACTTTGATCGGCTTCGTCTACGTGCATTATGCGCCATGATTGCACCAAGTTAGGCGAAACCGCGAAGTGGCCAGTCTGTTACGTGGCATAGAAGCATGAAGAAATTGACCGCGAGACTTGGTCAGGCTGGTGCGTGCTTTCATGAGTGGGGGCCCCGGGATGGTGCACTCCAGTGGTTGAAGACTGTGTCAGACGGCACAGTCACGCAGTCAGTGGCGTCCTTGCATTCGTTTTCTTACTTCTGGTTGTTAATTTTCGTTACATTTTGACTAGTTTAACATTCTATTGCATTCAACCCTACTGTTTTACCGTTGCTATTTGTTGTTATTCTTGCGACGTGAGTTGTTGCAACTCGATCCACTACACTTTGATGCTCGGATCATACTTGTTCAGCTGAATTGAACTCAACTGAGGAGAGACCTCGAATCCTGGTAGTGTCATTTGCATCGTAAATGGAAATGGTCGCTGTCCTTGACAACCAACCCAGCTTATTCCATCTGTTACACGAAACTGGACGTAGAGACCTAGTGTTAGCGCGACTGTATGCGGCGAGAGTGGACAGCCTACCCCCAGCTTGTCAAAACGTTTGGAGCGTTGGACCAAACATTGAAAACCAGTTTCATCACTCATAGTTACCAGCTTCCTTATCGGCCATTGATCGTCTTCCTGGGCCGCCCGCTATATCCTTATAGATGATTTACACGATTTATCAGTAAAACTGGGAGCAGGAAATTGTCCCAACAGACTGGAACCACTTTGGTATAGTCCCGGTTTTCAAAGGGGGCTCACGTTCGGAACACCCCTATCGTAGAGCTACCAGTCCGATCACAGTTACCTCCATGTTACTTACCTCTGTCGTTCTTCATATAATTACTGGCATCCGTGAAAGCCAGATGCGTGAGGAGCGAGCCTGGTTTTGTCGATATCGCGGATGTTTTGATCACATCTTAACGTTACGTTAATTGTCGGAGCACCGCCCATGTTTATTGACAAACCACCATAATAATGTTCCTTGATATCAAAGCCACATTCTATTCGATTGCTCGCTGCGCCCTTTGGGACTGTCTGCTAAGGAAAGGTGAGCCCCAGAAAAATGTAAATATTATCCATGCGCGCTTTACTCGGGCAGAGTGAGGATTTGTGGCAAACCATCGCCCTTCATTGTCTCCAGCGGTCTGAGATGAGGGTGCCCGCTATCACCTTCCCTTTTTAGCTCCTCCATCGACGAAGTCTTGGAAACTGTGTTCATTGGACACAATATGTAAGGTTTAAACATGTTCCCAAGCGATCAATATTTGACTTGGAGCATTCCGACGACATTGTCCTTATCTGTGACTGCTCCAAAATGTGCCAATCATTACTGGACAAATTATCATTGGTTGTAACTTATTTCGGGTTATGCTTTGCACCCTCAGAATGCAAAGTTCGCCGAGGCTGACAGAGTTCCTTCCCTACGCGGACCATTAGTGGTGATCAGCTAGAAGTTGTCGAGATATGCAAGTTTCAGGGCTGCCAAATCATCTCCATTGGAATAACAGATATCACAAACCGTATGGCAGAAGCTTGAGGCGCTTTCGCCAGTCTCCACCACATATGGTGCCGGTATGACATCACTCTCGTCCTGAAGGATAGAGTTTACAATACAGTTGTGCGTTCAGTCCTCCTGTACGGTTGTGAAACATAGCCCATCAGATCGACAGACATAAAAAGGCTAATTACGTTTGACCATCGCTGCCTTCGCAGCTTAGCTCATGTCTGACGGGAACACCGCATGAGCAATGAATATTTTCAACGTCATGTGTTTGGTGCAAGAAGAGCGAGTGAACCGTTCAGCATCGTTAGATCACGTATCAGGTCCCGTTGGCTATGCCATGTGTTGCGCATGCTATCACCGGCTCCCGCGACGTGCGTTATTTGCGCGCCGCGGATATGGATGGAAAATGAGGAGGGAAGGCTAAGCGATCACTTTATCAAGATGAATAAAAACCCTCACTTCGAACTTGGCGTCAATTAGTGTTTCCCGACTGCCGGGCTGCGGTCCGAAGGACGATGAACACCTCTGATTGGATACACTTGTTGAAATAGCGAAAAGCCGACTTCAATAGCTTTTGCGTTGTGCGTTTCTTTGTCCTAGCCTCCTGCCTGAAACTTATGGCTTTTGGTCATCACTTTCAGTACTTGACTCCTTCTCTGTCCTTTGCCTTTAATCTTCTGTTGTCTTGTTACTTCAACGCATTACAACATCCGTCAGACTCGACCCATTGTTATTCGACTAGAATTTACTCTCTTGTTCTATGGAGTATTAACCCTTTACTGTCGTGCTACTAGTAACTTGGCTTTTCTTTCGAACTGAGAACGCCTCGATATTAATTAAACAATCACGGAACCGTTTAACTTTAGTACGCTTGTCTCCCGTTTTTTCCCCATATTTGTCAACAAAGCTTCCCACAATTTTACGGTAGCCACAGTTTAACTTATTACTTTTGTTGTTACTGTTCTTACCCACATTCATCTGTAGATATCAGTTGCGGAAACAACATCATTACTAGCACTGATTCATGCTTTTCTTTGATTGTATCGTATCACATCCCAGCGTGATATTGCAGAGGCGAAATGAGATCCTCAAACAGCTGTGTTATGCCACATCTTCATTTTGACCATACATCCTCTGTGAATGACCCCAAAGTCATATACGCATTGCCTGAACGCTTCTGACAAGGCTACCACAAGCTGATATTGTTTATTTCTGGAGCTACATACATTTACCATTCGAAGCCGGAAATGGTGCATACGTCCGATGCTATTACTTCGGCTAACGCACAATTACCTAGGCGTTTCTTGTTACATGAAGTACTTTGGATTGGTTTAATTTACTACACTGCCCTTGTTCGCTTTGCCTACCACCAATTTCTCAGCCTTAAGTTGTCCATTTAGTTGTTCAAACCTAAAATCTATTTCACATCCAGGTTTGATGCTTACAGCAGTCGCATTCATCCAAACGTTTGAGTATGACGGAAGTTTAAACAAAAACAATCCCCAACCAAGCACTCATTTCTGGTCTGAATTTTACTGTTGAAGTGGGAATATTTACCTTGCTCAACTTCTACACTTCCGGTCCCGTGGCCTTATTTATCTCAGGCCTGCCTTATAGTCTGCGGACGCTGATTCGAGTCTGCATGGGGAACCGGGCGACCCTTGCAGTATCCTTAGCCCACGCGCGACTGTTGCTAGTTCCATGGCAGAGAAGGGTCGGTACTGTGTACCGGCGTACTACCGATACCTCTCTAGGTTTAGCACTAACCATAACTCACTCAAACTTTACAGTTACTAATACAACGGCTGTGTCCATTTTCTATCCCAGGTGATATTCATGGTCAATACACCGATTTGTTGCGATTGTTTGAAAACGGCGGGTTTCCCCCAGCTTCGAACTATTTGTTCCTTGGTGATTATGTGGATCGGGGCAAGCAAAGCTTGGAGACCATCTGCCTTTTGCTGGCATACAAGATCAAATATCCTGAGAACTTCTTTCTTCTTCGTGGAAATCACGAATGTGCCGCGATCAATCGCATTTACGGTTTCTACGATGAATGTAAGTTTCCATCTTTCGAATTTTTGCTCGCTTTCACTATAATCGGTATTCCATTGTTTTGGCACAACCTCTAAGCCGGAACTCCTCGCTTACCATGTTTATGTTTCATGTGTACTTTCGGAACCAACCATGGCCTGTTGTAGCCTCAGATTATCAGAGTTGCGCTTATTCAACTTCACTGCACCTAGCTGTTAGCTAAAATTGGTGGTTGGTGTCAATATATACCAAGACAGCGCTCTCCCATGCCGGTTGTCCGACTTTGTCCCATTAAGATTCTCATATTATCATCCACCTCTCGATTCGATTTGACGGAAAACGCATCTTTTGTCTTCGAGAACTTTCAATGGGGGTGAAAAGCGGACCCTTCACTCAACATTGAAGCCTTGTACCCCTTGTGAATTTGCATTTTGCCGAGTGTTATATGTCAGTTTAACCAGAGACAGACCATCGAATGAGGAGTTAGTCCCTGTGAAACTAGGTTTTATTCGTCTGTGGAGACAGACGAGAGCTGAAAGTATACTGGATCGCGAAAGTATAGTTGCGGCGATAATGTCGCATTCTGCTTCACCGAAGTTTATGGTTAATCAGGCTTAAAGCATGAGTTATCTTCAGACGGAAGCAATGTAAGTGAACAGATTTATAGAGAATCTCTGAATCTTGGTTAACTATGTCCCATATAACAGAAAGGAGTCAGTGGCTATACCTTCATTTCCTTGCGTTTCTGCATTGCCCCAATTCCGCTCCCAAGTGACAGCGTTTCTCTTAAGTTCGGCTGAGCATGATTCAGAAGCATGTGTCGTTACGTAAATAATAGGTCTGTTCGTAATCTTGGCTTTACGTAATATCATCATCGTACCGGAACTCTTGCCTTCCTTTGGAAGCCACTCCCCGGATTGATGTAGTCCTCCCTCACAAGTGCGCATTGGGGGCTGCTTTCTGTGCTCTTCACTTTTACTACAAGTGGATCTAATTTGAAGAACTGAACCTGGTGCTGACAACCAGTTAGGGATAGATGAGCTGTATGAAAACGATAATGTTTGACAAGCTTCTCCTACGAATTCGAGTTTGTTACTATTCTGGAATTGTGAAAGCAGAAGAACCATACGGATTTACATGACGGAGCAAGCGAATGAGTTGTCTACAACTATGTTAAACGCAAGAGATCATGGAGTAAAAAGGACGAACCGGCGCAAACCACTTCGAAAACCGATATTCATCTGAAAAGGTGATGCTATCTGTTTGGTGGGATTTCAAAGGAATCATTTTTTGGGGCTTCTACCGGACAACACAACGATCAATTCTGAAGTGTACAATCATCAGTTGGACAAATTGAATGATTCACTTAAACAGAAAAGTCCAGAGTTAATCAAGAGAAAAGGTTTAGTGTTCCACCATGATCATGCGAGACCTCATACAAGTTAAGTAACTCGCCAAAAGCTTTCACAGCTTGGATGGGATGCACTGCTCCACGTACCATGTTCTCCTTAACTGACACTTAATTATTGTTTGTTCCCGTCTACGGAATATTTTAGACGATGAAACCTTTACTACAAATGAGGAGGTCAAAAATCACCTGGATCACTTTTGCCAGCAAAGCGCGAACCTTTTATGTGCGTTGAGTCATGCTACTGCTAGAAAGATGGCGAAAAGTATTGGGCCATAATGGACAATATAATATTTATTCACTATACGAAAGTCGTCATACATTTTAATACAAAAAAACGAAAAACTTTCCGAACAACTTAATACGATCCATTTCTGCATTTGGAGGTGCTGTGGCAGCAGCCAGAGCGGAATAGGGGCTGTTCTCATGCAGGACGCTAAACCCTTCTATCTCCGCAATCGGGCGCTCACGGTGGCGAACAGCGCTATGCACAGACCGAGAAGGAGATGCTCGCTGTCGTCTACGCGATAGAGCGGTTCAACGGTCACATCCTTGAAAAGAAGCTTACTGTTTACACTGACCATAAACCGCTCGTACCACTCTCCAGTAAACCATAGCACAGTGTCCTTCGACCTCTTCAACAAATGCTTATCCTGTTCCAAAACTACAACGTGGACCTTATGTACACCCAGGGGACGCAGATATTTTTCGCGGACGCTCTGTCGAGAGCTCGTGTTTCGACAGTTAAACACCAACAGGAAGAACTCGGGGCAGTCAATCTGGTACATCTGGCGGTAGCGACAGATGGCCTTAAAAAGATAAGGCGTCATAGGGAGGCAGACGCGATATGCGTGGCGTTGCTAAACATGATGTTGAGGGGATGGTCAGATACAAAGAGCAACCTCCCGAAGCAATTAATGCCATTCTTCAACTTTTTGGACGAACTTACGGTGTAAGATGGTTTGCTGTTCAAAGGAAATATGCTGGAGCACGCACATCGAACCCATTTGGGTATTAACTACAGCATTAGCAAAGCCCGAGAATTGATGGTCTGACTCGCGATAACGAGTCAAATACGAGATCAAGTGTTAAATTGTCCAGCCTGCCGGTCCCACGAAGCTCGACAAGCCAATGAACCAATAATGCAGTGTGAGGTTCCAGATCGACCATGGCAGAAAATATCGGTGAACTTGTTCTGTGACAACGGGAAGGACTATTTAATCACAGTGCACTGCTTCAAGATCCATCCACTCATTGTTATCACCACGGGAGCAATATCAGCAAGCTTAGATGTCAGTTCTCTAGACACGAATACCTTTAGAACTAATTACCAACAATGGCTCACAGTTTACAAGTGTTGCGTTCTAAACCATTGGTAACAACTTGAAATTTTCGAATTGATAAACGAGCCCGTATCACAGCCACTGGAACGGAAAAGCTGAGTCCACAGTCGAACAAGCCAAGAGGCTGTTTTCAAAGGCTAGCGCCACCCGTGAGGAGTCATATCTAATGCTGTTGGCAACTCGCAACACGCCATTGTTGGACATCGGTCTCAATCCAGTGAGTTTGTACAGTAGAAAGACGCGAACTCTACTGTCTGCGTCTGTTGAACTCTTAAACCCTGTCTTACCATCGCATGAGCAACTGCAAATGGGCTGATCAGAAACGGTATTACGTCCGCGGGACCCTGTGCTACCGGCGCTGTCGGTAAATGATGAAGTGTGGATCCAACCAATACCGGGTGTCAGCGAACTATGGAAAGAGGTGTAGTCACTGCGGTTGGAGAAGGATTTTATGAAGTCAGTGCTGGAGGGAAGGTAACCAGAAGAAACCGAGTGCAGCTGAGGCGACATTGGGTACGAGAAGATGAATCTTCTGCAAAGTACATGACGACTTACGGAGAGGTCACATCGACAGGGGCAACAAAGACCAGGTGGAGCGGAAGAGCGTACGGAGTCTTCAGGGACGCCGATGCGGCTGATCCCGAAAAAGGGAAGGCTGTTATGGGATTGTGCAAACAGAAGAACCATGCGGATTTACAGCGCGAAGCAGGCGACTAGCTTGCCGCAAGCGAACAGAGCAGTTGGTTGGACGCCTACGCATGTTTCGCCTATGCGCCGATTAGCTCGTACTTGGCTACGCTGGAGTGAGTTTGTTTTACTGATTCAAAGGAAGAATCTCATGAATGCACAAGCGTCGTTAGTTATGGAATTGACCTGGTTATTTACATCAAGGTTTCAACTTGCTGGTTATGTTATCATTTTTGCTGAGCCTGCTTTGTTAAATAAACCGTTTGTCTCTGCTGGACCGAATTCTGCGACAATTAAATTGAACAGAATCGATAGAGTCGAGTGAAAAGCATCGAATAGAAGGATTTTCCCACTGGTCATCTGGGACTTCATACGCAAAGACCTGTCCACATCAAATATAATTAGTGAACGCCTGTTAATGAAATTCTCTGCACGAAAATTCCAGGTACTTGGGTATAGATGTCGCATCACGGGAGACTATCACTCTTGCTGGTAACTTGACCCCAACCCCTTATTCAGTTTGGAATTTGGGAATTAGTTATTCTAACTCCTTCAATTTCTCTGCATGTATTTTCTACCAAGTCACAAAAGCCAGGCAACTATCCGGCTACAGCAATAAAACTTTCTTCCTACCTGGAACACGGCTTGAGTTTTTGTTCGTCGCAATCAGCCGACAATTCAGATATGTCGACCAGCTATCCGGAAAAGCACCAGATGGCCGTTTCGCCATATTGGGGCTCATCAGTGGTGCGCATCCTTTCGGTCCCCTGCGGAGGATCGAACCCATGACTGCTAGTGGCTCTTGCCAACTAGCCCGCAGCTTATGCAACTGCGCCATGGAGGACCGTCTCCAACTATCATGAATTGTCGGCTGATTGCGATATAGCCCGACGCATCCTCCACTGCCATGCAGGCACCTGCCATGCAGATGACAGCGGTCGGCCTTCCGGCGTCAGGACTTCCCGGTTACGGCAGCTATGAATCGACATAGCATTTTGTGGAATCCGTAAGGGCGAATTGGTATTACTTATGAATGAGTTATTCAAAAGTATTGTAACACTTACTCTAGAATATTGTACTATCGTTAACAACCAATCAAAAATGAAAGAATAACTCCGAAAAATGTCTAACGATCCTTTACCAAACTGATCATGAGACGCTGCTTAACCTACGTTACTATAATCGTTGTCACCCCCTACTATTGCTACTACTACTGCTACCACTACTACTACTAACTACTTTTACTATTACTAACTATTATTACAGGTATGTGCGAGTGGTCTGGACAACAAATGTAAAGCCATAAGCCTGAAGTTAACTTACCCCTTCTTTCTAACTTTCCTTACAATGAAACTTATGCTTGTGTCGCCTACCAATCCTATCTCCAACTCCATTCTCCGTCTACGTTGATAGTCTCATCAGTCCGTCAAACTGCATAGGCTGTAAATATGCTGATCACGTCGTTCTGGTTTGCATAATCCCGAGCATCGAGTACTCTCCAACGAGATTTAGACGAACTATTGGCTTAGTCGAGCTCCAGGTCCCTCTCTCTCCATGTGTTATGGCGTGACGTTCTGGTTTCTACATCCCAACCGACTGCAGTCCCTTGTACAGATCTTCTCTCCTATATGATTGTGGATAACGAAAACATACTTCGTTCATTTACCGTAAATATCAGTTTTGACTGATTGGAGGGCCATTTTGGAGTACACTTGTTGTGTTTGGATTACTATGCGCAATCCCAATGTAGATCACGATTCACATTAAAGTGTACCTTGGTCAAGGCGACCACTGGGACGTTACCGAAGCAGATTGAAATTGGGTGTTGCTCACCCGAAAACACTGCACATCACCATCTCAGGGTTTTCCTGTATCACAATTTTCTTGGTCCTAGAAAGTTTATGTTAGAAGCTACTCTACTTCGCTGTCAGGCTTTCCGTTCTCTATACTTTAATTCTAAGGTTTGTAACTGTATGTATTTCCCTTCATTGGTTATACTGTTATTTTCGAAAAACTACTTCCGAAAGATTACGTCCTCTGCTAAAATTTATTTCTCGCTGCTCTGGAGTAAGAAAAAGAACCGCTCATTGATTTTCTTGATAACGCGCATTTCGATGCATGCATCAGCCTTTCATCCAGGATTTTAAACGACCACTGTCTCCCTTTATATGCGATCATAGCCAATACTAAGTCTACTTCTTCCAAACGGACAAAATTTACTTTTTCTATTCCCGTTACTCGTAATTTCGAAACTCTATTCTGCATTATCTATCACGCTTACTAATCGACCCAGCTTTTCCTTTACTGTTGTCAATTGCTATTTTTCATTGTTGCTTTGTTGTATTATATTGCACAGGGTTTGTGTGAAAATGTGCACATATGGGCGGATAAAGCCTAATTTGACTTTACTTAGCATATACACATTTATCTATCTATTTATCTATTGGCTGATTAACTAGTGATCAGTGTGCATACATGCTCGAAATCCTGCTTTTTCCTCAACGCAGCGTATTCCACACTTTAGCTAAGTTGTGACCAATTTCTTACTCATCACAGTTCACTCACACTCATGTTCCAGGCAAACGGCGTTTCAGTATCAAGCTATGGAAGACATTCACAGACTGCTTTAACTGTCTCCCAATCGCTGCTATCATCGACAGCAAGATATTCTGCTGTCACGGCGGTAAGTTTTGAAGCGCACTTCGCATTGAGTATATCATCCTTGATCATCTGCTCGGGGTTTCTTGAAATTTCATGCCACAATTATTTACTATTCACGGAATACCCTGGTAGCCAATGGGTTAGTGACGTTACATGCTCATCGTACGCTTTCCATAGCTCCTTTGACATCGATACGCAACCCGCGCTCATCGCCATATAGGCTATACGGTTTTACTTTTATTTCGCCCAGTCGGTTCATCAACATGAATGGGACTGGGGAAAATTTCTCATCAGCGTTCATACACGGCATTCCCTGACGGCTTATCGAGTTATTATGGTATGCATTACCTACCAAGTTCCATTTATGGTTATCATTCATCGTCCTACACCTAAGTTGGAGGTTAGAAATACCTCAGGCGTTATATTGTGAAACAAACCAAATCAGCTGGTAGTTGAAATCATCATCATCAACAACAGTACATCAGCCATCTAAACTATGCTTCGCTGTCCTACAACCATAAGTACCTACAGAACGAAGAATAATAGGAGAGAATGAAGTAGGACTTACCGGGAAACCCTGATGCCCTAAACAAACAACCAGGGTTAAGGTATCTACACCATGTCACTAACATAGTGTCACAAACAGCTGGCTATCACGCAAAAATAAGACGGCATCAGCGAAACAGTTTCCTAGCGGCTTTCATTGCCCCGCGACATATTCAGCCACTACCCCGCAGCTAACTCAGCACCAAACGCACCTTATACAGGCAGTCCGACTATGAGACGGCAGCCGACGCGTCACGTATGTCGACTGCGAGCCAACCTCAAGACGAGTCACGTAGACTCCAGCCTAGAAGGCGAGACGGGCTTACGGAATCTAGTTTAGTCGTCAGTGACTTCATTTCTCGTTGCCAAGTTGACTTTTGTCCATCCCGAGCCTTGCGCCACCCCACATCTAGCAGAATAAACAAGGACGTACTCGGTAAACGGTGACCAGGCATACGTAGTACGTGTCCAAGCCAACGCAACTCCAGGGAACTAGCTTTGAGTATCATTGCCTAACACTCGCCTACGCACATCATCGTTGCGGACACGCTGGTGCCACCCGACACCAGCCATGCTTCGCAGACAACGATGACCAAATACTTGAAGGCGCGTTGGATTTTCAAACCGAAGGGACCATATCTTACTCCCTCAGAACAGGACGGTCCTCACCGTGACGTTGTAAACATGACCTTATAGACCTATGGAAACTCCTTTCCCTTGCCAAAAATGTCGCAGGTTCAAGAAGACAGTCAATACGTGTACTGACTTCGGTTGCTATGCGTCCATTCTCGGGTTTCTCGCTATCAAGAGTCAAGTGGTTATCAAGTGGCCGGTGGTCCTACAGCAACCCTTTGCACTTTGTAAGTGCGAAGCGCATATCAAGGAGGCTTTCGTCCAGTTCTTTGTTGCATTAACCGGCTATTCATATTCTCTGGCATTCTCAAACACCTTCACACCGACAACCTTGTTAGTCTAGTGTTGTTTCACCGCCTCTGATGTTGTCATTGATGTCCACATCGAATCGTTAAAGTCCACTTACGTGTGATCATTGCGCTCCCGGTCTCAAGCCCAATAACATGGTGTACGGTACCCTAGTCTGCACAGTCTTGCTATATAACAGTCATACTTTATCCGCTCGCTTGAAAGACATTATTTATTATCAGTTTTTGCCGATCTTTCATCATGTAAGCAATACTAAAGTCTCAAACTGGTTGCTTGTAGTGAGCAGTCCCCTCCTTATTCTTCGCCTATGTTCCACACCTTGGTTGTGTTCCACCTGCATTCGTTACCTCTCCGCTTCACAATTCGGGCTGATTCCTCTTACTTTCTTATTAATTATGTATTTGTACAACTGAACTTTTACAACGTCTTACAGCTAGTCTCTTAATGGTGGTTCAAAAAACCGTGTAATATGACCAACATGTTTGTTTTACATTCGTAGTATCAAACATTGTCCATCCCAGATTTTGAGTGCATGGTGAGCCATGCACGGAGTTATAGAACACACTTCTGCACAGTGTCATACGCTTTACTTCCCACCTTGTGAATTTTACTCTCTTTGTGTTATCCGAGCCACTGTTATATGCCGCAAATGTCGCATTTTTCTCCGACAGCAGTGTACCAACTATTATATTGTTACTGATCGGACCACTTATAACTTAGTGCCTACCAAATCTTACTGATTAAAATCGTGAAATCGGCGTCGCCAAAGCATGCATCATTTCATGCTCCATCTTAAACTGACGATCCCCACTTTATGTCAGCAGCGGAGGTACCTAGTTTCATAACAATCAGCACGGTTCACTACATTGGACCCCGATCTGCAATTTCGCATGCGCTTTTATACAGGCTTCGGTGGTTTCTACAATTGAATCTACTTATGACGGCCAATCGATGGGGCTGGGAGCTGGAGTAGTTGGGCGCAACGGAGAACGTAAGCGACACCTGTGAATGCTTCGTGTGAAAGAAACAGAAAGCACAGCTTCAGAAATGGCGTGTGATTTCGATCACCCACTTCTGCATACTCATCATCGTAATTTGTTGGATTATTGTGTCACCAAAGTACTCAGACCTGAGCCATCGAGTGGCTGAAACCGTCGCTCAAGTCATTGAATACCATAAACCTTTCGAAAACAGCTAGAAGTAGCAGTGAATCTGCCGGTTGTTGTAGTTGTCTTCTTGCTCCTCGATCTTGCTCCATCTGACTTTCCCCAATCAGTGGCAGCGAGAAGGCCTCCATAGCGAGTTACTGACCTGTCAGAAATTCACTGACGTAATCTCCTCACCTTTCGATAAACGTCCACCAATCCCGATGTCTGAACAGCTGACGAAATAAGTTCATCGACACAGTAGTGATATCTCTCTACTCTCAAAAGAAGTCAAACGATAACCTAGTGGCTCTTACGGTTCCGCGCATAAAGGCGTGTTCCACCAATAGTACCCATAGATTTGAAGGTTAGCACATTATCCACCAGTGAGATCGAAGCCAATGCCGAAGTTGAAGCCGTGGACAGTATATGCAATCGGTAATCTCAGTTCTTCATCTGCTGAGATGATTTAGTTTCCCTCACATTGTTCTTTGTCCAGAGTTGAATTGCAAGATAAAGCGTGACTTTTAGTGCTAGTTCGATCGCTGACAGAATGATTCACACGTTTGGGTTGTAACTTACAAGTCACTGTGCGAGGCCGCATAAATGCAGGCGAATTCATAATATCCCAACTCTCTTGTGGTCGCTTATCACCGACGCGTCGGTACGAAGATTCTGCATACTCCAGGACATTGTTCGTTGCACCACAAACATCACCTTTTGTTGATTTGTAGTTGCAGTGATTTCGTACTGGGGTCAAATTGGTAGAGGACCTTAAACAATGCCTGTGATCCTGACTTCCTTCGTACTCTTCTCTCGAACCCTAACTGAATGTTACTCTCTGCTCAAAATCTGATCTTATTCTTACCCCACTCACATTCGAGCGTCGATAAACACATTCCTTAGATGACAGCATTCGTGTAGTTAACTGTTTACACCGACAACGCAGCTTTGTTGTTGTTGCTGGCTTCGTGCTCTCATCCGACTGCTTTACGATAGTTATTTAATGTTAAGCTGGCCATGCCTGCGTGTTCTGTTATGATACTTTGTGGATTTCCGAAAGGACACCATAGAAGAAGAAAAAACTGCCATGATTCCATCTCCATGCTAAGCCCTTGCGTTCAGCTCAGCCTTCAGTGATTAACTTTTATGGTCACCTTTCTCCGTCGAAACCTAGGACAATTCTACAATCTCGTCTTCCTTTCGACACTTTTTAATTGATGAAATGCAGTACAACAGCTGTTAGTATCTCCACCTATCAGTGTTTCTAGCCAAGAAGGAGTAGTATGCAACACGTACACACACACGCACACTCCTTTGTACAACTCGATGATGACCATGCAGTCTCTTCGTCGTGGCCAGACATAAAAATGCATCAGCAGTACGCCGGTTTGCAGTACCGACGCATAGCTGCTGCGCAACCACCACCAGTCACACGCGGGCTAAGGATACTGCGATGATCGTCCGGTCCCTATGCAGGCTCGAAACCGCGCCTTCGGATTACAAGACAAGCTTGTTACCGGCCGGCCCTAAGTTTTTTCATCCTTCGTCTGCTACTGACTGTATGACTGCACTGTGATCAATCGCACTTGGTCCATTAATTTTCTCGTTTTTGTGTGTCCTAAAGTTGTGGTAACAGCGTTTCAGCCAATACCCCACGCTCCATTCAACGGCCGGTTTGAGCTCTTCAAACATCAGTATTCGGACCTAGTGGTCAACAGCTGACGCCTTGATTACTAGGCCAGTGAGCTCGCAATCAGCCCTTGGCATAGCATTTAGGAATTCGTTGTTAGGTTTTGGAACATTGTCTGCCTCTGCTTGAAATGTTTAAACAAAACAAAGTCGAGCAACACCGAAAACTCTGCCTTTTTGGTACCGTTACTGAGATCGGCATTGTTGGGTCTTTCCTCAAAGTGAGCCGCGGTCCACATCGATATTCTACATCGTAATCCAAACACACCGTTGGTACTGCAAAACAACAGAACGCCTTTCCACCTTCTTTTTATTGCGGATTGGATGTGTCCACTGCGGCATAACTTGTAACATTGCTTGGTCCCGTGCGCTCGTCATCTTTCGTCCTCCCGGTGTTCTGCTACTTACAATCAAACCGCTGCCCCATATCCTTTTCACAGCACACCTTATTCTTCTCTGGAATCAGCGCGTCTAACTCATCACCCACTGCACCTTATTGACACTTTCCATCTGGTAGCTCCCTCTTGTGTGTTTGCGTACTTTGGAGCAATAACTTTACGCGTCACTTGCCGAGTGATTCAAACATCTGACTTGTAATCTACAAGTCGCCTGTTCGAGTCTGGATCGATGCGAGCTACCTACCAGATCACCTGTCCACATGCGATTGTTAAAGCTGGCTTGTCACTGTGGCATCGGC